GTCTCTACACGGGCTCCTCTGTCTAGGTAGCATCATCCCCAGACAACTGCATGGCTCATGGAGTGGTTCTCCTCTTTCAGGGATCACTCTCCTTCACTGTTTGATGTCCATTCCCTATTAAACCTTTGTATAATACAATTTGTCCAGTTTTTCATTTGTTTAGGTAGGTGCATATATCTAGTTCCACGTACTCCATTATCTCTGGAAGTAGAAATCCTGTCTGGAACATTGTTAAACCAAGAATGAAAATAAGTTTTGTGCCAACTCAGATACTCTAAAAGTAGTCATTGGGACTGTGATAAAGATTAGAGGGAAAGCTTTATGTGACAGGTGAACAGCAGCACGTACACCAGCTGTTTACTTACAGGTCTGAATTGCACCAGAGTAGTCCTTAAATTCTGTGATTACATAAGTGGATATGGCAAATGACGATCAACTAAAGAGAACTAAAAAAATATTAACAAATTGCAGGGACTGCAGGCCCAAGACTGTGTGCAATGGATAGTAGCATTGGAAGTAATGAGACAAATATTTAAGTAATTTTAGCATAATCACAGGTGAAGACCTTTACTTAGGAAGTTTTCCATGCTCAGGTGATGGTAAATAATGCAAGCTTCTCTAAGTAGAAGGACAGAAAGACAGTGGGAATTAAAGCCAGAGAGAGGAATTAGAGCTTGAAAAGCATCTAGACACTTGGAGGGAAATATGGAGAGGAATGAAACAGAAAAAGAGAAACAAAAGGAAATAATGAGCAGTAACAGAAAAGGTTTAGCAAGGGACTAAACCGTTGCTCAGAGGTTTGCCCATTGCTCAAAAGTGATAATGACTTAGTCCCTTTTATACTGAATAAGAAAGGGAGAAATCTCAATAGGATTCCAAATCCACCCATGTACATTTACTTACTATAAACATAAAGAGTTAAGAGAAATAGTAAGTTAGGTTTGAATACCAACATTTAGAAATACAGCGGGAAAAGCTACTTAAATGCCACCTAGGCTTTATCTTAATGTAAGGAGTACTGAGGAGAAACTGTAACATATCGGCAATGATACAGCTTATTAAATAAGACTGAAATAGAAATTATAAGCACCACAGTCTGAGGTGACATTGTTTAAGTTCAGGTTCACAGGTTCATAACATTCAATTATGATAAAAAAAGTTACATTCTAAAATGTACATTGGTCAAAACTGGTTACTAGATCCTCCCATGTCCAAGACCAATGTTATACCAAGTACTGTTCTTAAGATAAGGACAACTCATCAGTGAACTACCGCAATCTAAACAGAACAAGTGAAAAACCTTTATAGAATATGCCATGAAAAACTTGTAATGCTTTCCAAAATGAATGTAGAAATGCATTTTTCTTTGAGGCAAAACAAGAAAGAGAATGGAGGGAACTGAGGAAAAAATTCACCCTGTAAGTGGAGCAATTTCTTTTCAGGGAAATGGCAGAAGTTGCAAAGGAAAATCATAAGCCAGGACATTCTTCAGAAGAACTGTGGATTTAATATAACTATAAGCAACACCTATAATATGCAATTTGAGCCAGATGGCAACCAGTGCAAAGAAGAAACAGAACAAGTCTCTCAAAGTCAAACGAATGCCTCACGAAGACTGAGCTGCCGCTATCCCTCTCACAACATCTGGAAATGAGTTTTTAAAAAAACTTATTTTGAGAGCAAATAAAATTTTATGTTTACTTGACATTGTGGCTACTCATAAGAAAAGCAAATAATCTCCCAACATCTCTACCATATTTGTGCTCTAGTCCTTAAAAACCTGTATGTCAATTTAAGAGCCTCCAAGGGTTAGTTATAGAAACAAAGACACTAAAGTAAACATTTTTTTTCCAGCTATCTCAAGTTTTTCTTCCTTCAAGAAACTATGGAGCCAGATTCGTTAGCTGTATGACCAGGGCAAGCCACTCATTCTACCTAGGGTCCCTCCTCCATGAAATTGGGATAATAACCTCATTGGGTTTTAGTGAGAACTACATGATTTAATATATATGTTCAGGGCTTAGAACAGTACATAGCACACAGTATGTATCATATATGTATGATATATGTGTATGATATATATATCATACATATATTTTTGTTACAAAATTTTTTTAAAAATTCATTCACTACACTACTGATGGACATTTGGGCTGCTTCTAAATCTTGGCAATGGCAAATAATGCTGCAATGAACACATAAGTGCATATATTCTTTTCTTTTGAAGTCACAACATTTATAAAAATGGTCAAAGCATGAATGGTTTATTTGTATTCTAATCTGAAATACTTTCTTTTGTTCTGTTTTCTGAAAACCTAGGCTATAAAATGATGCAGAGCAAGGCTGACATTTAATCTTGATTGTTTATCTGGGTTTTTCCTGCCACTTCAACAATGGCAGGTTAAAGAATTAGTGTTTCAGGTTTCTTCTGGTGTGGGTGTGGAGAACTTGAGCAAAAAGAGAAAAAAAAAAGGAAAAACTCATGGACAACTGTGTGGTAATTGCCAGGGAAGGTGGGGAGGAGGGGTGGAGGACAGGATAGGGGGGTGAGTGGTGATGAATCAGAGCAAAAAAATAAAAAAGCAAATCATTGATGTACTTGTTATTAAAAAATATTTATTAAGCCAAACCCTACACTAGGCTGTCAGTGTACAAAGACCAATATATCCAGATGCCTGTTTTCAAAAGAGCTTGGTGAGGAGATGAATGAATAAACACTCATTACAGAAGGACAAGAGAGTTGCCAGAACAGAGATAAGCACAGCCCACTTGGAAGCACACAAAGAGGACATTTAACTTAATTATGTCCTTATTTAGGTCTTCACAATGATGCTCTTCCTAACTGGAATTAGACTTGGCCAAATTTATCCAATTCCCAGAGGAAAGTAGAGAAGATGCTTACCTTTGCTCAGCATCAAGAAGCCTATCACAGACCAAATCAGATACCTCATCAGGAGGTGAGGTGTGACTCTCTACTAGGTATTCAAGATGAAACCTACTTTCCCTTTCTGGGTTCAAATGGCAGAGCCTACAAGTGGCCTTTAACTCTCAATTTCATTTTCATTGTATATAAAACATAATCAGAAACTTGACCAGCAGCTACTTCTTGAAAATACGGTTTTAAATTTTTCTCATCATTAAGTTAAAATAAAAATTCAAAAGTACTTTTTTTAAGTGTATACAATTGTCTACTTGGCCAACATTTTACTTCTAGTTTTTGTGAGATTTTATATATACAGTATATAACGTATAATAATAATTATATATAATAATATATACTATATATTATAGATATTACATATAATAATTTATTTATTTATTTTTGTTTTGTCCCTCAAAATTAAGGTTAAGAAAGGAAGCATTAACTGTGATTTGGTCTCCAGCAAAACATCTAAGATTCACTAGATTAATCAAAACACTAATACCTGAGAAAGTGTTCTTTCCTTCCAGTTTTAGTAGATAGATAAAGGGTCAGACCTCCTTATCTAGCTATCTTTAGAGCCCCCTAGTGACGGTTTCTGGACTCTGTCTATATCTTTAAGGTCGTAAGATTATACTACACTAGCCATTGAAAGGTCCTCTGCCTCTCCTCACACACCCTTGACAATGCACTGCCCTTCATTTTTGTGCCCTCTAATACACCTATGTTGTGCAAAGGAAGAAAGTGAAAATTCAAAAACAAAGGTCAAAATCTGATCTTCATGCTACAGTTTTCTCTAGCCTACTCTAGACCACCTTAAAAACTGACTGTCATTAAAGTGGTGGGGAAAATACAGATAAACAATCAAGATTAACTGTCATCTTGCTCTGCATCATTTTATAGTCTAGGTTTTCAGAAAACAGAACAAAAAAATATTTCAAATTAGAATACAAATAACCCATTCATGCTTTGGCCATTTTTTATAAATGTTGTGACTTCAAAAAAAGCGTATTAAAAAATCTGAGCTTTACCACATTCCATCAAAATTATTTCTTTATTAAAAAAACTTTTCCGTGTGTCCTAACTTCAGGTTCAAAACTGGAGTTTTCTTGGCCAAATCTCCTAACCCACCTGACACAGCCGTCTCCGGGCTGCAGGACAATGGTGCTCTTTAGAAGATTGCAGATGACTCTACTCGAAGGGGAGGACAGCACTTGGGGACATGTCCTGTGCCTTAATCCTTAATATGAATGACTGACTCTACTACAGTTTTTTCCCTAAAATGTTTTCATATATCAAGCCTATCTCCATCTATCTGAAGATTTAAACTCAGGTGGATATAAAAATGAGATCAAGTATCACTTGCTCAAGGGCAAATGAGAGGCAACTGGCAAGGTTCTGAACATTCATCTAATTGTATACTATACACCATGTGGTGACATGTCTGTGAATGTTATCTACAAACACTCTCATATGTGTATTTGCAATTAATACGTATATACACAAAATCATGCAAAATATTTTATCCAATTAAAGCTTCTGTGAGTTACCAAGCCACTTTTATTATTCTAAAAATGTAAGCATGAGTTAGGAAAGACTCAGTGTTTTCCATACGGACAATGAGTAACAAACAGCCCACCTGACCTTCATTAAGCAACAGGGCAGCGAGTTTCTCTGCTGCTCCTGCTGTGCTTCCTCCACACAACCGGGAGCTTCCTCAGAGACCCAACACCCTGCTTCAAGTGATCATTCCTGACCTCGGGGTCCCAGGAACAGGAGAGGAAAGGGGGAGAGGGAAGGGAGAGAGGGAAGGGAAAGAGGGAAGGGAAAGACACCAGCTCAAGCACATACTGTATTTCCATGTTTTAAAACAACATGGGGCAAAAGTGGGATTTCAGCTGAGTACCTGAAACAGAGTTTATTCTTATTATTTATTATTGTATTATTTTCCATATAAACACCTGTAAATCTACTTTGCCTCACCCTGCATATACTGTGAGATGAAGTAAAAGGCAAATGACTCTTCTGACACCTTGATGAGCCATTAAAAACAAGAAAAGGTGAGGATAAAGATGCTTACCTGTTGTTCCTGCATTCTCGCAGCACCAAGTTCTGAGAGAGACATGGTGAGCTTCTCCTGCTGTTCTGATAGGTATTTCTGATAGAGGCTTAGAAGTTCTTGGCATTCTCTGTACTGCAGCTGAAGAGGTGAGATTGCAAATTAAGGAAAAAAACTCTGAATAAATGAATCCAAAGTGCACCTGTGAGTGCTGCTTTTCAGATTCCAATAAACAGAATAGAGACAGATATGGAACCATATTTGGTGAGAGTGCAGGTAAGTAGTCTTCAGATGAACACAGTAAATGTATTTTCATTTGAATGTATCACATTTAAAGAGATATTTCTCTCTAAACATTTAAATTTGAATAAAAACAAATGCGAATACACGCGAAAAAAGGAGGTTGGATCCCTACCATACGTAATATACAAAACTAACTCAAAATGAACCATTGGCCTAAATGTAAAAGCTGAAACTATGCAATTCATAAAAGTAAATCTTTGTGATCTTGGATTAGGTAATAGTTACTTAAAATAGTAATGAAAAAATAAAGAAATTTGACTTCAAACTTTAAAAATTTGTGCTTCAAAAAAAGAAACTGAAAAGACAGCCTATAGGATGAGAGAAAATATTCACAAATCACATATATAAGGGACTGTTATCAGAATACAGTGACACCTTATATGAGTCAGCAATAAAAACTATTAACTTAATTCAAAAATGGGAAAAAGACTTGAATATGTCCCAAAAGAAAATATACAAACAGCCCAGCAGCACTAGAGAAGAGGCTGGACATCATTAACCATTAGGAAAATACAAATCAAAACTACAATGTAGATGCAAATGTTGCATCTACAAAGGTGACTATTATAAAAAAGACTGCCAATAATACACACTGACAAAAATATGGAAATGTTAAAACTGTCCTACATAGCTGATGGGAAGATTAAACGGTACTACTGCTTCGGAAAATAATTTAGCAGTGCTTCAAAAAGTCAGACACGTAGCTACCATGTGACCCAGCAATTCCACTTCCAGATATATATACCCAAGAGAATTAACAACGTATGCCCATGTAAAGCTGCGTACATGCATATTCAGAGCAGCATCATTCATACAGTAAAAAAGTGAAAACATCTAACTGTCCACCAAGTGATAAAAGGATAAACAAAATGTGGTATATCTACACCAAGGAGTCTTATTCAGCTGTAAAAAGAAACAAAGTAGGGCTACATGCTACTGTATGAATGAATCTTGAATTTTGCTAAAGAAGCCAGACACAAAATATTACATATTAAATGATTCCACTCATATAAAGCACAAAACATTACATATTATATTATTTCATTTATATAAAGCTGTTTTTCTTTATCTTTTTTAAATATATCTTCCAATGAGCCAAGGGAAAGAATACTCAGTTCTAAGTAAACCGATCACAAATAAGAGTTACATTCATTCACGCTCACTTTCTATTCTCTGCTCCAATTTCCTTAAGTACCTATTATGGGGAAAGCAGAAGAAAAACAAACAAACAAACAAACAAACAGAAATGTCCAGGGTAGGCAAAGCCATACAAACAGGAAGTGCATTAGCGGTTGTGAGTGTCTGGGGGAGGGAAAGAGGAAGCAGCTGCCAATGGTTATGGGTTTTAGGAGGGAGGGAATAAACATGCTCTGGAACCAGACGGTGCCTTTGCACAGCTTTAGGAATAGAGTAAAAAACACAATCATATACTTCAGAAAGTGAATGTTATTATATATGAATTTTATCTCAATAAACCTGTTATCAACCCCCCATAGTCTTCAGATGAATATAGTAAATGTATTTTCATTTGAATGTATCTCATTTGAAGAGACATTTCTCTCTAAACAGTTAAATTTCAATGAAAACAAATGCAAACACATGCAATAAAAGGAGGTTGGATCCCTACCCCCCACCCCAAAAAACAGAAAGATAAATGCAGGGTAGAAGCTATGGTACAGTTCTGGTAAAAATAATTACTACCTGATTTACAAAGTTATGACTATATTAAACACAAAGAGGCATAATTAGATTTTTGTCTTGTTTGTTTTTGCAAAATGTTAGTTAAGGCGGTGTTTTAGCAATAAAACCATCATAACAACAGTGTCCGTCCGTATACCTCCTTCTATTTTTTATAGTCTAGTAGGAAGAATACAGCAGCCTAACCTGGGCTACCCTCTCCAACGGCTCCTCAAACTTGCAAAGTGCTGAAGGTGAAGACAATAAATGGAAAAGGTCACCTAACTATGTAGGTCAGGTGTCTGGGAGACAGACAGTTCTACTTAAGAGAGTTCTGCTCCTCATTTCTCACTGTGGTCATTTCCTCCCCAGGCCCATTTTTCTCTCAGATCACTTCTGAATCTCCCCCTTATACTTAATTATGTATGCTTTTGGTATAAAAATTATTGCCCAATGAGATTATTCTGCATAAATACTTTTATAACAGGCCATCATGATTAAAGTGGGAATAGTATTTCTTAAATGTCAAAAATGGTGATTGGTTTCAGTATTCTATAACATTTTTATAACCTAGTCATTGCTTCTAGGCAGATTCCTGTTCTAATAACCTTTGTCAATCATGGCAGCACAAATAACCATTTGCTTCATTATTCTCATTATTAATCTCTAACAAAGAAAGAGCCAGAGATGGCTTATAGAAGAGAAACTGGTTCATAAAGAAAGAAGAGACTACTAATCTCAAAGAATACATTAATTAGAAGAGCTTACCGAATAAACAGCATCTTAAAAAAATAACAACAGAATGAACGGTGGTCTAAATAAGCTAATGTTCTCAAAGTCAGCTTATATCAGACAGGGCTTGTTTTATGTTTCTAAGCTTTTGTCAGCAAGCTCTGAAAGACAGGGTGATTTGAGGTGGTCCCAGGAGTCCCTGCCAGCTGTAACGTATATAAAAAGATTTTTTTCATTCTGCCTGTTATCATAGGCAGTAATGTTTATAGTAGACAAACATATCGGCCTGGACGCAGAATATGATTTTCACTGTTTAAAAAAGTAGCACAATTAAACAGCCTAAGAGGTAGATGTTAGCATTTAAAGACAAATTACAGGCACATCTCATTTCCTGTGCCTCACTTTATTGTGCGTTTTACAAACTGAAGGTTTGAGGCAACCCTGGGTTGAGCAAGACTATCGGTGCCATTTTTTCCCCACAGCATTTGCTCACTTTATGTCTCTTTGTCACATTTTGGTAATTCTCACAAGATTTAAAATTTTTTCGTTATTATATTTCTTGTGGTGATATGTGAGCAGTGATCTATAATGTTACTATTGTAATGTTTAAGGGCACCATGAACTGTGCCCAAGTATGAAGGCAAACTCACTTGATAAACTGTGAGTTCTGAGTGCCCCAGTTACCAGTGGTTCTCCTGTCTTTCTCCTTCTCTTTGGGCTTCCTTATTCTCTAAGACAAAACATATTAAAATTAGGCCAATTAATAGCCTTACAATGGCTTCTAAGTGTTCAGGTAAAGGAAAACTTGCATATCTCTCACTTTATGTCAAAAGCTAGAAATGATTAAACTTAGCGAGGAAGGCATGTCGTAAGTTGAGATAGGCTGAAAGCTAGGCATCTTATACCAGAGTCAAGTTGTGAATGCAAAGGAAAGTTCTTGAAGGAACTTTCTACTATAATGGACACACGAATGGTAAGAAAGTGAAACAGCCATCCTGCTGGTCTGGATAGATAGATAACCAAGGCAGCAACAACATTCCCTTAAGCCCAAGCCTAACCCAGACCCAGGCCCTAACTCTCTACAGGGCTGAGAGAGCGAAGCAAACTGCAGAAGAAACAGTGGAAGCTAGCAGAGATTTGGTCTTGAGGTTTAGGAAAAGAAGATGTCTCCTTAACATTAAAGTATAAAGTGAAACAGCAAATACTGGTGTAGAAGCTGCAGCAAGCTGTTTAGAAGATCTGGCTAAGAAAATTAATGAAAGTGCCTACACTAAGTAACAGATTTTCAGTGTAGACAAACAGCCTTAAATTATTGGAAGATGCCATTCAGGACTTTCACAGGTACAGAGAAGTAAATGCCTGGCTTCAAAATTTCAAAGGATGGGCTGACTGTTTTGTTAGGGACTAATATAGCTGGTGACTTTAAGTTGAAGACAATTTTCTCTTACCATTCTGAAACCCTAGGGTCCTTAAGAAGATGAGAAAACAACTGATGTATCCTTCAATAGATGACTGGATAAAGAAGATGTGGTACATATGAGGTCTGTCCAGAAGGTATCCAGCCATGTAAGATGGAAAATAAAGACATTTATTGAAGAGGACACAAGATACAAGAAACATTTTACAAAGGACAATGAAGCTTCAGTCCCCTTCAAAGTAGGCACCTGGAGACAGTTCTCACACAGTTCTCTCAGTCGCCATCAGCTGCCCTGTCATATTTTTCTGAATCTAATCGATGATCTGAAATCTCTTCCTTTTCTAAGGTGATTTTAATTTTGGAAAAAGGCAGGAGTCACAGGGTGCCAAATCTGGGCTGTAGATGAGCTGAATCACCCGGAAGATTTGTTGTTTCACAAAAAAACTCTGCATGAGACATGATGCATCAGTGGGAGCATTGTCACAATGAAGCTGCCAATCACAGGTGGTCCGTAGCTGTGGCCTTCTGAAACATCTGAATAGTTTCCCTGGAGGAATGTTCAAGCCTAACACAAAATTTGATGCAGATTCATTGTTCTACTAGCTCAGCTATTTTGAATGTATGGCCACACAGTACACATGTTCACTCAATAGCATCTATCACCCCCATTGACTAGAACAGTGAAGTCATCATTGTTCATACATGAACATTCCAGTCCACTCCCCTTGGCTGCCAGGTTACATCGATGTTGTGCAAACCATTCTCATTATGTTAACAGTGGCTGGACTTTTTCCAGACAGACCTCATATGCACAATGGAATACTATAAGATGAAATACTGCCATTTGTGACAACATAGATGGACCTTGACAACATCATGCTAAGTGAAATAAGTCAGACCGAAAAAGTAAAGGATCATATGAATATATGTTGGATATAAAACTGAAAGCAACAAAGGAACACACAAGAAAAATAAACAAAAATGCACAGACACAGACAGCTATGTAGTGGCTACCAGAGG